TTAAAGAGTTTGTACAATGTATCCGTTCATTATTTAACTGATCTTATTAAAAACAGCATTCATGTTATGTTGTTGAATTTATGATGCCTAACATTTTATGACTAAATAAACTTTGGAAAAAAGCATCACAGTAATTATGATCAGATATCAGTTATTGCAATCTCTGTTGACTTTGATAGGCTTGTAAAAATGTTTTAGATGATGGTGTATGCCTTGAAGAATGTCTCATTCAAGAACTTCCCAATGTTGTTAATAGGTCTAATTCTGACCTGAAGTTTGAAGCTAAACCACTATGTCTCAGCAGCTGCCCAGGTAGAGAGTAGAATAAAATACCAGCATTTAAATTACACAATGCATTGTTACCAGATATGCTCTTTGAGTTTGGTACAATTTGTGTTGAAAGTTGTCCAGCAAATTATACATCTGTACCCACAAGTCGTGGAACAATGAAATGCATTCCTTGTGACAAAGTTTGTTTTCAAGGCATGTTTTTTATTTATAATTATGCTTACTTTTTATACTTTTGATTATAGAATGTGTGGGTGGTATTTTTGATTATAGTAATGCTGGAGCATATGCTGGGTGCATGATAATTACCACATCATTGAGAATTGGGAGCATACCTATTGGTACAAAGTCAGTGATTAAATTATAAAATTGCTTAGTGACATTCTCATCTCAGTAATTCAATTTTGAATGTTCTTAAAGACATTATTGAGATACGTGGCTCCTTAGATATTAGCGGTTTTAGTGACAGAACTTTTCCTTACCTATCAAACCTGAAAGCTGTGGGAACTAACTCCGTTCAAGTATTATCAACTCAATCTTGCCAGGGGTTGAGTGAATACTTTAATCATTCTATTATAATATCTGACACAAGTCTAGTCAGTATTGATCTTTCATCATTGGAGACAGTGAGTGGTGGTATACGACTGCACAATAATCCCTCACTTCATGATATTGGGAACTTGTGCTACTACTTAATCAACGATGATACATCATTGTTGTCAAGTTGTGTTTTGGATAATCATAGATTAATCATGAACGAATGTGGTTAGTTCCATGCTATTATTACTTTAAAATATGTATTGCATATCTTTAAAGGCCGATACTATGGGGTGTGAACAGTGCCAAAACATATAAGTATTATATAGACAGCTTTCTCTGCCATTGGATACATGCTATAGATATACATACATATATGGATGCACCATTATACATACTAAAATGATAGTTTGTACAGATATTGATACATCTATGGCATATCTTCACGTCATTATAGATCATCATGATCAACCCCGCCTATAGTAGGCGTGTCTCCTGTCAAGAAATTAAAGCATAGATAATAGAGTAAATGAAAGGGATTGGAAACGGAAGCGTGGGCGTAGCCCAACCTCCATTCATTTGTATTGCTGCTAGGCTGACAGAGGCTCGTTGAAATTTTTTGTCACAATTTACCCTTGATTTTCTTTCTTTTAGGAGCAATATCTCGCAAACAAGTGTTCTTATGCAAGTGAAATTAATGCATCAAGAAGCCTAATGTTTCCTCTTTATAATTCTGTTTTCTATTGTACAGATAATTTTACCATGTTAATGTTATGGCACTTTTAAAACCATAAAATGTATTTTTTGTCATTATAATCCCTTTTTGAAAACAAGCTAGAGTAAAATGCGATATCTTTATAATCATATGAAAGAGTTTCCATTTGCATATCGAATGATACTAGTTAAGGTTAGAATCCATGAAGCATGAGTTTGTTA